GATACCTTCTATCAACCAACCAATAGTAAAAGGCCATCCATGGTGCCAGCTCCAAAAGTGAAAGCCCTGCCAGGTTGTCATAGGATGTGAGGTCGAATACCAAGCCTCTAAAAACAATTAGCCAATTCCTTGAAACTTCTGCCACTACTTCTGGTATCTCTGATTCTGCAGGGTCTAGCTTCAAGGAAACTGCCAAGGTTGATAGAATCCGGCCTTCAACTGCAACAATGCCAGGCATGCCAGCTCCCGTTTTCGGAAAGCTGTGCCCGTTTCTTTCAGAAAACTAAGCCACATGGGTTGTCTTCGCTGTACTAGACAAACACACTGAAAACGAAGATTGGTAATGTTGTCCGTTCCTGAAAGTTGTATCCTGTACGATCTGCTTGTACTTGTACATACTTGTACCAAAGTTCAAGTCAAATTAAATTCCCTAAATTACATGGAACCTACAACAAAAAACACTTCCAGTACCTACAGTATGTGGAAAACCTTCTCGTGAATTTCTACGCAAAGCTATGAGCAAACACACTCAACCACATCATTGGGGATACAAAGTCTTAATGACGCACCAAAGCACCATTTCCATCCTCTTCTAATCATTTTGTTGTCTTCTCCGAGCTGAACCAATTCCTCCACGGTCACCACCAGTGAACACCGACCACGTGGGGCCGGAGCAAAATTGGCGACAGCCCGAAATGTGCGACAGCCGATCAGTGCTGCCTAAACGGGCTACTTGAGGGGATAGGGGGATAAATGATGCAACTGCCCCCTGGGCAGTCAGTTATATTTTCAATTTCCTATAGAGTCAAAATTTGCCGAGGATTGGATTCAGATTTCAGAGTAAATGAGTAGATTGCACCTCAAGAGGTTCAATATGCGAATCCGGCACCCCTGTACATCTCACTCTTGAGAGTGACAATTCTATCTGCAACCATGGTTTGCCGAGGGTCTAGGGGCTAAGGAGTTCAGGCTGCTTGTTTGTAGGTTGGAAGCAACCAACTAAGCAACCATCACCCAGCAATTCCTGTCTATGGATACTTTGATTCAATGAACTTCTCGTGACTTAAAACCGTGAAGCCAGTAGAGCGTTGCGAATCAACACATGTTTCTGAAGAAGAAAAACTCTACCCTCCCAGCCCCAAGTGGGTTTGCAAAATAAAGTCCTCTACCAGGCAGTGGTGGTTATATTAGTTCTGGGAAGTTTGTTGTTTTGAATCTTTCTCGGCTTTGTTGCCTGAACTGAAAGGTGCAAACTCGCCATGTGACCTTGCCATGTAGCAGCAAAGAAGGGATCTGCGGCACCTCTCATCACAGCTCACCTCACCGACTGACCAACGGGACTTGACGGACTGTCCCTGCCGGTGGGAGGGGACGGCCGGACAGTCAAGCGCTCTGGGTTTGACAAAAATCCAGCAGACTTGATTTGCTATCCGAAATGAAGAGGTCTACTTGAAACTTCCGAGAATCCCACCAGAAAATGACGAGATGTGTGGAAAAATACCCACAAGGACCTTTGGACCCTCCCTACTTTTTGGGGAGGTCAACACACACATGCGCTGCTCCACTAGGCTCAACAGGTGTTTTTGGAGGCCGTGACACAACAATAATTTTTGTTTACGTGTGATAGTTTGTCACACTCAATGCAGGGTGGTCATAATACAACATGTCAGTGATGATTCAATTTGGGGGCTGCCAGAATATGTATATATATATATACATATACCGATGCAGCTAAGAACTCGTCCATGGTTCACCTCCTGCGAATAGCAAATCACATCCATCACAAGCAGTCCATGACAGCCAAGGCACTAATTGATCAGCTTCAACGACTTCAAAACCTTCCAGGTCCGGATGCACCGAATGCACTGACAAGCAGTGCTAACTGACATATGGGTGATGATCCAAATTCCTTCATCCGGGATCCGTCATTCTTAGCAAATAACAAAATTACTTTAGCCAAATTTTTGCCTTCTTGCGTTCTTTCGCGAAGTATCTTGTATCTATGTTTGCCATGTATGTTGTATGATGGATATCATGTTTCTTGTCAATGGTTTCTTCTGTGCTGGCAGATACGAAATAGCAACTTCACAGTTTGTCAGCATGTGTCTTCTACTTAACAGTTGACACCCTGTACGTGTCTTTTGTTTCTCAAAAAGCGCAAGAATCACTATCACTGCGGTAGCCGGTCGCTCAGACTTACTCATAATGGGCTAGGGGTAAGATGTGGCAGGGTGAACTTTCGCCAATCTTGAGCTGATTTTTTCCAAACTTTCGCCTTTTGCGGAGTAGAGCCTTGTGGCAGAGCCGCATGTCATCCCAACTCATAGCAGGCTCATAAAGAACCACTACAAACTCTTGGTGAATTCTCAAGGATTCAGCTCAGAAACACAAAACAGGTTGACCATTTTAGCTCGGAGCTTTCCCACATGGCCGACGATTGTTGTCAAAGTGTTTGGCTGGATGCTCGGGGTATAAGGTATGATGAATGTATACTGATACTGCAAAAGGTATATAAACGGAATTTGCATGTTGGATAAGTCACAAAAAGCGAAAGACCCCCGCCCCAGCTTATCGGTCGCCACCCCTTCCTGTCCAGGCAGTATCTAAGCCAAAGCATCGTGATGGTTTATCCAGCTTGAAACACACCCAGTTTGTGAGGTGGTCGGACACAAAGCAGCTCATCGAACAGGCTCTGAAGATCTCTGAACTGCAAATTATGCAACAAATGCAGTGAAGGAACCCATGAAGCATCAAGCCGAATCAACCTTCCATCCATTTGCCACCCTCATAGGACCACAAGCCGGTCCTGGTATTATATAACAATCAACTATTCCACATAGAGGTACCATGGTAATAGCTTAATATATGGAAATAGTGAACTAATTATTCATTGATCAAAGAAACAAATCCCTCCAAGCTTCACCACCTTCACTGCGGTTTTGCTTACTAAGCCTCAAAGTGAAACAATCCCCATGCCATCTGTTCATTCATGTTCAGTGACAAATGTGAGTTGATGCCACAGCTCCCCAAACGAGTGCATAGCTGGTGATCACAAAAATCACACTTCAACTAGCGATCAACAGCCTTCCATCCGCCGTTTTCAGCAAACGACGTTTTCAGCCGCCCTTCGGTCCGGACGATCGGACGCGTCGGACCTTCGCAGGGTCCGTGTCCAATTGTGAGGTCTCCAGCATCGAGGCATGTGGCTCCAAGAGCTCTTCCACCTCGCCGGAGGCGTTTCGGAGGGCGGTCACATCACATGACTCTGGTTGAAGTGCTATGGGTTCAACAGGACACGCAGTGATTTCAAAGAACTTTGGACAACCCAAAACCATGTATTCTTGGGCACTGGGTCCTCTTGCGGTCTCAAAGCTTGGGAAGTTTATGAACATGCTCAGCTTTTTGCAACAGACGGACAAAGCTCCCACTGATCTGTGACAGTTCGACCATCCTCCAACAAAACGAGTCCAAAAACCCTATAAGATCTTATTGTTCCAGCCACGAGTCCAAACCAAGTCTATGAGTCGCAGGGACAGTCTCGCCTTGGTGATGTGTCGTGAATGTACTGCCTCAAAGAGCTCATCCTTGGATGTGAAGGAGCAAAAGGCCGTCGAGGCTGTGGGACAGAGGCAGGGGAAACGACTGTGGGGAAAGCGAAGTCCACCTGGAAGAGTTCAGAATCCGCTGGGAACAAGTGGTTGGACACTATGTTAGTTGGACCAAAATCCAATCTGACTGGGATGTGCCAAGAGATCTTGTAAAAATGATGCACAATTGAACAATCCATAAAACACTGACTATGGGGACAAAAGTCGATCCGTGGACCATGATACAAGTTGTGCAGGCTACAACTTCCCCAAGTTAGGAACACCTCGACGCAAAACAACCCAAAAAACATGGTCTGGAACCGCCAGCTGTTGCACCTCCATCGCGTTCTCAGGTGAAGCTTTGCATGGTGAAGCTTTGCATGGCGAAGCTTGCGGTTCCAGGTTTGCACAGAATTCATGTCCATACACGGTCCAACGCTGCTGGCCATGCCGAGATGGTGTGCAAATACTGATGAACAGTTGACAACTTGTGTACTGTGCACCCAAACACAGAAACTGACCCAATATCCGGGCCAAATAATTACTGTGGGAGCTGGGAGCAATGCCCAACTCATAAAATGGTGTGACTGTGGCACTGAGGAAGTGGGACCAACCGAGAATGTTGAACGTGTAATCTGTAGACTGTCACTGTATTGCCGGAATGCATATCCATATACATTGCCGACCCTCAAAGATATCCAAGCTTCAATGTTCGTCTGCGCTTGTGCCTCCTGCACAGTGGCTTCAGGCTTCTCCATGGAAAAAAAGAATCGGATCACCACTTGCCTTTCCAATTGATCACAAAACTGTCGGTGAACACCCTATTCAGCGGAGTCCTCCAAGCACACCAGTGACAACTGCCGTGCAACCTTCGTAATTAGGAACCTCTCGGGAAGTCTAGAAGCTCAACCCCCGCCATCGCCTGCGCCTGCCATGTTTTGGGAGGACTGCTGTAGTATTTTCATCAAGATTCAACAGTCTTTCATAGATCATAACACACTACGACTCACTCACATGCAAGTGGAAAGCCCTGCGTTTCTTTTTACAGTACGGATTAGTCCTCCCAGGGTCTATTGTCCACCTTACTATCGAAACAAAGGGTATCTGACAAAACTTAGCCCGGGGAGCTGTCCATGAGAAATTACTGTATATGTGTGATCTGATGTGATCTGCAACAAAAAGAGACGCTTCAAGACATGACATTGCACAAATATGGTTCAGTTCCCCCAGTGGCCTAGTGCAATGCCTCAAACTAGTGCAATACTGTGCAATGGGGTATCTGCCACAAAATGCACATCACCTTTTGCAGTTGTTTCAAACAAAAAAAACTCACACCATCCTGTACAGGTCCCATTCCATCAAACCGCTGCTTCGTCCTTCTCATTTTTGGTTGCCGATCTCGTCTCATAGGTCTCACTGTGCGGCTCGTGCCAGGATCATGTGTGACACGTGAATCGCCCGCCTCTCCTCCTCAGTGAGCCCGGGGTGCCAAAAACGCAGCACCAGAACATAGCGAGGACGGCTGGACTCATTCTTCGTGGAATGGATGAAGGTGGTATCCAGAATCACCATTTCACCTTCTTTCCAATATTTCTCCTCATTGCCCACTGTGATGGAGCACTTGCCCTCTTCAAGTTCCAGAGCCAAGTGCGATGTGAGAACATAGTTGAGATTGTCAGAGTGCGGCGCAATCGTTGTGCGTGGCGGCATCTTTGCAAAGAATGCTTCGAAGGGCTTGATACCTTGAAGCTGTTTGAGCACCCCTGTGGTCACCTTGAAGCGTTCTGGATCTTGCCATTTATCTTCTGTGAGAACTCCCATGATCTTCCAATCTTTTCCATATGCTTCATTGGATTTCTGATAGGCACCCGGTGTCCAAAGAGACTCGTCCAAATTCTTCTTGAGCTCTTGCCTAATTTGCTTCCAATGCTTCTTCAACTCAGCACACCAAGGATGATCTTTCAGATCATGGAAGGGACAAACGGGCATCAAATTCTCCACATATCCTGGCGCCAAACGACGTCCAGTTGGAAGCTCTTCCTGGAAAATGTCATTGCTTCCAACCTTGAACTTGCTTAAGGAACCTAAAACGACGTTTAAACAGAAAAAACACATATTTCCCAGAAGGGGATTTAAGTGTTAAGCATAGGGAAAACACAAAATCACCTGATTCGCAAAACCAGGCAACTCTGTGGTACATCTTCTCGATGCGTCCGAGGCGCTCGCCGGCACCCGAACCAAACTCGCTATCGATGATCTTTTTCCTTTTTCGCTGTTGGAACAAACACACACGGAGAGCAGAGAAAACAGTCCACAACACATACGTCGACAGAAAAAACACAAGACCCCCCCAAAAAATGCTTCTTTGTAGAAGGTGGATTTCACCAAAATGAAAGATAATGTGACACCCAAAAACAAGAGGCAAACGAAGAAAAACTGGACTAAAAACATCTAAAAACCAGGTCAGTCTCAATCCTGGCACCAAGGCAGCAGTAACTCGGGCTCGGCGCCTTTCCCATTCTGCTGCTTCTTTCTTTGCCTCGCTGTCGTCTTCTTTCAGACCTTCAGCTGGAGGCTGTGGTGCAGGCCTTCTCCTTCTCTTCAATTGACAAGACAGCTGATGTTTAAACTGCTCCATCATCCCCTCAAAGGTTGACATGCCGTTCACTGACATCAGGACGTCGTTCACTCGCAGAGCAAGCGTGTCATTCTGCTTGTTCCAAAGGTCCACGATGCCTCCTTCTCTGATATCACTAATGCGATGCCCACCGTCCTCTAGTGGCTCCACGTCGATCATCATGCCAAACTTTTGAGAGATCTCCTCCCGGCTGATGATGACCTCGGTCTCGTCATTGGTCACCACCTTTTCCGATGCCTTTGCTTCAACTTGGGAGTCCTGAGAAATCTCTTCCTTTCCTTTGTAGCCCTCCAGCCGATCCTTCGCCATCAGAGACCGCCTCTTTTGGGCGAGTCGGGGATGAGGCGCTCGGGGCAGCGCTTTTGAGGAGTCGTCAATTTGCAGTCTTTGCTGCTAATGAAGCGGAAGAGTTTGAGCCCAACTCGCTGGAGCGGTTTTTCCTCCAATTGCTTCGCCGTCACCGCTTCTCACCATCCTACAAGTACTCTATTCCTGGGTTGCAACATTTGGTTTTAGCCCAAAGAGGCAGGAAAAGCAAGGATGTTGGCAGGACGTTGCAACCTCTGCTCTAGTCACCTTCGCTGGGCCGCTCCGCGCCTTCTCCAGCTGCTGCCAGATTTCCTCGGTGGCCCAGGGCGGCAAGACCTTCAAGGCCTTCGCTTGGCTGGCGCAAGCGCCCAGGAAGTCGCCGCCTCACGCGCAATCCGAGAAAATCGGAGATGTTCATCCGGATGTCTCTTCTGGGCATCTAGAATCTCTGGTGAACTACCTTTAAACATGTCTTCTTACATATCACATCTTGTTCAACTTAATAGTTTAACATTCCACGGCCAAAACCCAGCATATCTTGAGGAATCTTGAAGATTATTGTATAAATACATATAAAGACTGTCGTACTATTGGTGGATTGGAGGTTCAAACCTGAGAAAGTAAGTGCAAACAACACGCGGTCTCCACAACTGTGGATGATCTCCATGATCTCAACATGGATACCAGCAGGAGAGCAGCTCGCTCTAGACAGCCGTATAGGCACATGTACTGGGTGGACCTTTCGACTGGTTTGAAAATTTTTTTTTGTCATTCAGGGATAGTAGGGTTTGCAAAGCCTGGTGTTGGTAGAGTAATGACAAACTGCAATAATGCATCGTTTTCTTTCGAATCTCATTCAAATTCATTCAAATTTAGTTCAAATTTGCAAGACTAAAAATTGAAAGAAATTTGAATGAATTTGAATGAAATTTGAAAGAACCATGTGTAAGGGTCACCAATTCAGGGACTGTCATGTTACGACATGGGCAGGAATTTGTGCAACTTGGATTCAAGTGAAACCCAGAAGGCAAGACCTGAAGGCAATGGATTTGTTTCTCAAGCCTCGTGTTTCAGAATTGTTGCCTTGATGATGGTCTTGCCATGTCATCGATTGTTGCAGTGTGTTGCATTGTTGGAGCAGCCTCAGTGTTGTCGCCTGGATAAAAAGTTCATCTCACGGTGCCTCCTTGAACTTTGCATACTTTTAAATTTTACCATGTGACTGATGAGCTTGATGTTTGATGGTCATCATTGTCATGTGACACGAGTCTGGCAACTTGAAGGCCTGTCAGGCCGACTTCAACTTGGACTCTCTGGCCCTTGAAGTGACGCTTCACATTGTTCGCATGGCAGCCTGTGCGCAGTTACAATTGGTTTAGTTTGTTTGTGGAAGTCTTTTGCGGCAGGCAAGTGGTTCAAGCAGCTAAGCTAGTCACTCCTGCTGCCAGGTGATAGTTGACCACATGCCAAAGTCTGATCCCCATCCTGCCACCTTTTTGAGACATCAGATTTCTTGTCAGCACGTTGCCCCATCGAAAGAAACTACTTTAAGGCCCATGAAGGTCATGAAGAAGAAGGCTGTGAAGAAGTATCATTTGAAGAAAGAGAGCCTTGCTTGACATGACGAGCTTTAAACTGATTTTTTTGATGCTTACCATTACAGTTGTTCCTGCTGAGGAAGTGCTTCCGGAAAACCAATGTGCCGATCCCCATTGATGGCCCAGCTGATGTCAAGTCTTCCTTCACCTGGGCCAAGGTGTTCATGAAGAGAATGGAGCGGGCCCTGGGCAAGGACTTTTAGCAGACGTTTACGGTCATGGTCGTGGTGTATGGGCACTGCTTTCTTGGGCTGTGGGCTGTGCAGAGTCGGTCATTAGCCTTTTAACAAATGTTTCAATTTCTTGCGCATGTGTGTGCCACTTGTCCCCGATTCTGAGAGGGAAAGATGGACAGTTTGCACCAAGGCAGCTTTGAGTTTGTCGAATGCTGCTAAGCCATATACGTCGTCTTCATCCAGCCATCCAGTGATCTTCGACTGGGCTGTGGAATGCAATGCCAGTTGTCAGAAGGCAGGGCACACCTCACCCAGACTGTTCATGCATCATTGGGTCTGAGCTGAGTAATTACTGTGATCAGTTTTTGGATGATTGAGGTACTCAAGAATACATATGGCATGTGCGTTGCTCCAGATATCATGGGATTCTTTCCGGAGAAGGGGAGCTGCCACTGCATGACACATGACAAGGTTTGCCCAGTGAAGTCAACTACTCGCAGCTTGCACGCACATTGAGAGTTGGTTCATGTCAAGCACACAACGTAACGGGACTGCCTGCTGAGGTATGCGTGTCAACGTGGCAGGAAGGACTGACAGAATTGAAAGACAGGCGGTTGTCAATCTTTGCCACATGCACGATAGATTTGATTTGAACCTTGTTTCAGCCAGGAGGTCCATGTGTCTCATATTCCATGATGGGCAAGCGGCGGCAAGGCCCCTGATCCTGTGGTCAAGACACATCGGCGATACTTCAAGCTTCACAAAAATGGTGACAACAGCGACATTCTGCTGTGGGAGAATGTCACAGTATGGCAGGTCATGCACGCGTGCATTGATCCACAATTGTTTGGTCTTCCAGCCAGCAGGACACGCCTTTACGCGTTGGCCTTCAGGACGGACCGTCTTGCCTGGCACCCTGACGTTCCGGACCTGCAGCAGTTGTTGAGGACATTGACTTCACGTGTCCACGGTAATTTCACATGTGATAAGTTCTGGTGGTCATCCAAGCTGGCGTGCCGTTTGTCACATGCTGATGCACCATGCTCGAACCAATTGGTGGTTTATTTCAATCGCTTCATTGATGTTATTGCTATTTTATGCGCTATTAGCCCATGACCGGCCTGAGGCAGCCAACCTCAAACAACACAGCAAGCATACGCCGAAGAAGGTCATCGTTGACTTGTCACAGATGGCAAAGAATGGTCGCGGACGCCCAAGTCCTTTGCCAACATTGTTGACAACTTCGGGGCGGGATGTTCTACAAGGCTAGCTGCAAACAATGCGTTTTAGACAGGCAGTCTGCTTATTACTTCACCCTATCTTCACCCTTTGTTTGCCACATGTGAAACAGCGGTTCCTGAGCGTGGAAGAGGCCTTGTCCACACACTGCATCCCTGTGACACCTGAGGCAGCCAAGGCCAGCAGTAGCCCACAGTTGGACATTAGCCATGTTGCACATGGGGAAGGTGTCAAGATGGCATGGAATGCCATGAGCTTGCCCTGCGTTGGCGCAATGCTTTTGTGTGCTGTAATTGGCTTGACCAAGTGACACTTGCCACTTGCTGTATGACAATTGTTGAAGCTCAGACCCAGCTATTTGTGTCTGGGCAGGGGTTAGACAGTGGACCAACTGTCTTTTCAATATTCGATGCGGAGTGCAGGGGATTTGAAAAGTGCATGACAGATTGATTTGCTTGGACTTGGCGAGATGAGATTACCTAGGCGTTTTCCGGAAAACGCCTAGGTAATCTCATCATTCACGCATCATGATTTACTTTGGCTTTACTTAGCTAAGTAAAGAGCATGTAATCATTTGGAATGTGCACATAAGATTACCTAGGCGTTTTCCGGAAAACGCCTAGGTAATCTATGAAGAAAAAGTTGGAACATTACCTCCTATGACTAATGTTGTCATTTTCTGCTGCAGTGCCACTTGCCCCCTAACAGTTGGCCGAGCCGCCATCAGACCGGGCCACCATCAGCCATGGCTCCAAAGAATCAGACTTTGACATCGCTTCTGGAACACGCTCAAAACAATCCTGATGTGGTCTCTGCGGCTGGATGTCATGAAGGTCCTGATTCCAGATGCGACATGTCTTGTTATTACACATGGCCGTTGCAGATGAGAAAGAGTAGCTGCCTTTTGGGAACTCGTTTTACCTGTCGCTGTTTTTTGTGCAATCAAGCTGTATAGCATGTCAGTGAGTTTTGCTTTGTGGTGGCGTGGAGTCCGTGTATGTACTTGGCCAGCGGTGGCCCACAGCCGGACATTTGGCCATGTGACAGCGCCAAAACTCTCTCATGGATCTTTGGTTACAGTTGTGAGTTGTGATCCATTTGCGTCTCCCGAACCGAGGTGAAAGAGAAGTTGATGCCCGTACTCAAGAAGTTGAAGCTGATTCAGAATGAGGTGAAGGATTTGGACTCGGTGCCACCGTTGGCGATGCCAGAACAGTCAAGTGCCACTGACATCTGGCACCGCGACAAATGGCAGCAAGAGCAGAAAGGTGTGCTCATACAAGGAGATGTGGAAAAAGGACAACGCCGTCCAAAGGCTTCGCACAAGTGCATTGTATGAAGCAGGTGGGAGTGGTTTCTGGATGTCTTGCAGCCCTGTTGACAACTTGCCACTTACTGCTGAAGGCGATGTGCCGCGTGAAACTGATGCCAGTGCCACGTGGCCGATCCACCTTGGCAGCTGGAACCAGTTGACACAGGCCAAGGCTCCTTTGATCCAAGCCCGCATCATCATGGCCGGATTCTTTTCCCTGTGACACTTGAGACAGCTGTCAAGTGCCCCAACTGACGTCGTGTCTCCCAGCACTGGTGAGCATCCGGCCAGTTTGAAGCTGCTGTGCGGACATTTGATACATGCCGCATGGTGGCTGGCAATGCACGAGGCGATTGTGGCAAGTGACAATGAACGGATTGGGGCATTGTTTGAGGCCATGTTGACAGTCACCATTCGGGTCACCCTCTGGCTGTCAGATGCTAATGCGATGAAGGTGGCTGTGGCGTCAGCAAAGCGCACACGTGCTCTTGAGGTGTCATGTGACAACTGACCACCTTCGCCGACAAGTTGAAGATTGTCGTGGCTGACATTGTGTCATGTGACAGCGTGAACGTGACACATGCCAAATGCCTCGAGAAATTGCGGCAAGATGGCGTGCTTTGGCAGGGCTAGTTTCATGTGACTCGATGTCAAAGAATCTGTCACGCGGTGCCGAGCCTTGCAGTCGTTCCTGGAGTCGAAATATGGCAGGTGCCTTTTGACAGATGGACCCGCGCTGCTTTATCGGTTGATAGTGTCTGTGGCAAAGTTCATTGACAAGCTCCGCTTGGGTCCCGAGCCAGGTGTCACTGATGCATTGGAGATGCTGCTCAGTTCTCTTCACTTGAGGCTGAGACAGTGACATGTGACACTGTGACCACGCAATTCTTGACAGGAAAGGAGAAGTCTTCTACAAATGGAAAGCAATGCTGGGCAGCTATGGGTCTCATGTTAATTGCTGTCATGCAGCAGGCTCGCAATGTGATTGCATTGATGGCAGATGCGACAGCTAACTTGAAACTCGTGGTGGAGACACTGCTGAACCCGGTCTTGCGGCGCCAAGAGATTCTGAAGCAACCCAAGCTGATTCAGGATTGGCTTTGCATTTTTTTGCGGACTGTCATAGGGGTTCATTCTGCTGTGTACTTGACTACAATTGTGCTAACTGACACGTGTGGGTGTGGTCACAATTTTTACCAACTGACAAGAGGCATCATACATTAAATACACCGCTTTGTGATTCAGAATATTAATAAGCGGCGTGCCGTGAAGGCCAACAACACACAGCACGTGGCGTTTGACGAGATCAGCCGCACCACCATTGAGAGTTTGAAGAGAGGCCTGTGCGCAAGCGCAGATTACAAGCGCTTCGAGCCCTTGCTGGACTGGGGGTATTCAATGGCGGATGCTCAGATGGCATGTCACATTCGTGACCTGGTGACGTGTGAAGTGAAGATCTTGTTGCAGCGTTGGAAAGCAATGACAATCCGTGCCTCAGTGAGCTGAGAGATGCGCTTGCTGCCCTGACGGAGCAGACACGTACCACTTTGACGCATCAAGATTGTGCCCCGAAGATGTCATGGAGACAATTGGCACGTGTCAATAGTGATTCCAGATGTGAGAACGCCGACCTTGGCACGGGTTCACGGGTCAATGTAATTGATGCCACGTGGAGTCATTCGTTCAGCTTTCTCAAATTGTAGCCACATTTGTCATGTGCCTTGAGCTTGTTTCATCTCAGTTGCTTGATTGCAGGAAGTGTGGGCGAAAGCGGCGGCTACGCGAAAAGGCCTCATTCACATCGATCATGGCAAGAAGGTCACCAGAGATACATTGAAGCAGTGCTTTGACCAGTCACCTGCCAAGAGCTTCAGTGGAACCTTGAATGAGAAACGCATGATGCTGGTCGTTTCCTGTGCTTGGAAGAGAAATCTGGTTGGTTGGCCCCTCCGCCTCCGGCTGGCAAAATCGGCGAATGAAAGGGCGAGCGATTGATGATTAAAAGATTGCAGAAAGGCAGAAAAAAAAATCCACCAAATGTCCACCCAGTGTAGCACGGCACGTTCAGCGCGTGCAGCCCGACTCTGCTGCGAATAATCCCGAGTACCTACTAAAAAGCGGACCCCTATTAGAAAAAGGTCATGTCGGAAACCTCTAAATACGGTTTATATTTGTTTTTAAATTACCGCCCTTTCAAGCCGCTACTAAGCTACCAACATTGCCGACCTTGGAGGAGTTTTTTTAATGAGGTTCCAAAAACAATTGTAACTGCCCACCTCTGTCCGCCCTGTCTATCCACCATGACACGCCGCGCTTACACCAGCAGGCTTTCCTTCCCCCAATGGCACGGACTCACGCAAACGCACTTGCCACCGAGGTCATGCAACACCGCATGGCACAGCGACATCACCTTTCGAAAGCTTTAGCTGTTATTCTACTGAAGAATCACTATTCTAATGAAGGTTTTTGTAGGGGAAAAGGAAGACCCTTCGATCTGGAGCTTTTTTGCATTTTTGATACGAGTTTAATAAAGGATTTTATATAAAATTTTACTGATTTACTTTTTGGTTTTGAAGCTCTTCCCAGGCGACCTATTTTGGACCCCCCGATTTTAGGGACCCCCTATTAGAAAAAATGCGACCGAGGTTTCCTTATTAGGGGGGGGTACGTGTTTTTTATTAGGTGGACCGGATTATACCGGACCAGAACACCAGTCGCAAGATCATATTTGGCCCATGGGACACAAACCATGAAAGAAAAAACACCTGATTCGATATCGCGAATGTGAGAAAAAACGATTCGAGGTTTCGAGGTCATAGCCGACTCACCACTTTCGATGTCATTCGATGTGTGAGGCTCCGGGCATTTCAGCTGTGACATGGCCATGTTCACCAAGGCTCTGGGGTAGTGTGGCTGACACCTGGGAGTGGAACAGGGAGCCATGTGGAGCCATGTGGAGCCATGTCGGAGCCATGTCGGAGCCATGTGGAGCTCGGGAACCCCCTACCCCTCGCGGTAAGGGTGTAGGTCGCGGTAGCCGTTTTCCGCCGCCGCCCTGGTGAAACTGCAACAACACAGACAGGTAAATCTGTAAGCTACAAAAAAAACAAACTTGACAGGAACATGGGGCCATCATGGGGCCACGACTCAGTCAACTCCGACCCTCGTCCTGTCAACATGTTGTGCGCTTCTGCAATATGAAACAACGAAACCAGTTGTTCTTCACCCAACTCACGACTGGAGTCCCAAGAAAAAGGCACCTCAGCATCTCCTATTTCTAATCATCTACAACCTCTGAGTTGCTTTATGATGTTTCCTCGGTTCTTGTGCCACCCTTCTCTCTTTCCAAACGTTGCCAGGCCACTGCAAGGCTTGGCGCCACACACTGATGGCCTTTTCCGGTTGGCCCCGGTTGGCCAGAACTGCACCGAGCATGTTCCACCTGTCGGACGCGTCGGTGCGGGCGGCCGAGAAGGCATGACGCTCAGTGAATCCTATCCTTTTGGGGGGAGTGCAAAGGCATATGAAGGCGACAATGTCTGGGTTCTATGATGTGAGAAGAAAACACCAGGAAAGCACTGTATACACATCAGTGAAGCCACTTCGCTCATGTCAACTGATCGTCGCTGGTCTCTCCTGCCTCGTCGCCCTGCGCTGCTGGGTACCAAAGAAGCTGTCACCCTCCTGGGCGCGATCTGTGTCGCGGCGTGATATGCCAGAAGATGCCGTCGCACCGTTAACGCACTAGTAACCTGAAGCTACTAGTAACAAGGGCATCGCTACTAGTAACAAGGACGCTGCTAGTAGCTCCTGGCATCACTACTAGGAGCAAGAAGGTACTAGTAACAAGGGCATCGCGTACTACTAGTAACCAAGGGCATTACTACTGGGAGCGAATAGCTACTAGTAGCACGTTAACGCTACGTTCCACCCGTGTTGCCCAGGCGACCTTTGTTCCGATGGTCACAAGCTTAGCGAGTGCTGCCCAAAGCAACACACATGCCAGTGTGAGAATAGCCTTCCTGATGACATACACCAATACAAACCACCAATATGGATGAGTATAGTATTAAAATATATGCATTATACAATAGTGACTCAATGACCATACCGAAGGGGGTACAAACACACAGGACTCACTAGACCCTATGACTTGTAGCTCATGGGGTCTTCATTTTGAAAGCTGTGTTACCTAAATATACAAATACTTATTATCTTGAAACTGGTCCCGGTACCACCTCCTGCCAGCAAACTAATGTCTAGCAAACCAATATCATCTTCAAAAGCAAAGGGCTGGGCTGGTTGCCATGCTAGCTCCAGGACCTCTAGGGGCATCTCCGAGATGACTATGAATGGGTTTGTTTCCTTCTGGTGGATTGACATCTGAATGCGTGGGAAAGCCTAATGAGACGACCAAATACGAACGACCAAATGGACGACCCTGACCATTCCTTGAGGTCATCCAAGATCACTGCATCGGCAAAGGTGTTCACCAGTGACTCCTGTAGCGTGTCACAAAAACACAAAAAAAGAAGAAAAAAAAGAATAAGACACATAATAACACGAAAAATAAGAAGAACAAGAACAAGAACAAAACCAATAACAATAACAAAAACAAAACAACAAAACAAAGTAAAGAAGTTTTATAGGGCGTTGGTGCACCTAGCCATGGCGTTGCAGGGGTTTTCAGGAAAGTAGAAAGTACTAGTACACGTGTACCTTTTTCCCGCCAGGGGATCTTTCTCTTTTGTTCTTTTGCCGAGCTCACTGCTCCTTTCAGCGACCTCGCCTCACTGCCTCACACACATGGAAAGCAGTACACCAAGAGAGAGTAGAGAATTGGTAATTAGTCTTGGAGTCTTTGTGAGGCCTTAAGTACTTCCTCCAAAGATATGGTGCCTTGGCCCCCATGGAAGAGGAATCCTTGATTGAATTGTTGATGGCTGGTTGAAAGGTGAATCGGTCCACTTAACTTATAGTGAGCATAAGTCACACGCTCACAAAGGGCCTTTGTGCTCCTAAATAAGAGGCATTGTGAATCGCGCCCTTAACTTGCAGTATACGAGAAAAGGGGCCAATGTGAGTATAGAAATGTATCATTGTGACCTCTCAGCAAGGTGAAGTGAAAACCAAATTCCTTCATCATATATCCATCGATAGTGCATCTAGCAAAACAAACAATCTTCGTCGGCCTCAGGTAGTCCCACCAACTCCGAGCACAGAACAGCCCCGCTAACGCCTGGCTTTGGAGGAGCTGCATCAAACCCAAGGCCACCACCGTGTCCGCAGTGCCCTTGCCCTGCAAACACGAGAGTCTGCGAGTCCGCTTGGCGGGTCAAGACCCCCAAATGGGGAACTTTTTGTGGACTCTATGTTGGCTTGCTTGTAAAGGGACGGTAGAGCAAATCACAGCATCGGCCCCTCTGCACGGTTCTAAGTTCTAAATGGGTATGCAATTGATCCAGTGATGAAACCAAGGCAGTGGCCAAGAAACGGGGAAGCAAACCTCCGACCGGTTCATACAACTCATGGGATCTATCGATGGCTCCAAAAGCTCCCGTGCGTCCGCTTGCGTTCCGAAGCAGAAGCGTCGCGACGACGCCGATGGCGAAGGACCGGTGGACCACCCGACGATCGAACGAAGGACAGGTCGGTCTGGCGCGTGTCCCCGCTGCTCTCTTCGGCACCTCCTCTTTCAAACGCTGCAAACTTTCAACCACCGAGCCAGCTTCGCCTGGTCAGTCGGCTGGTCGGCTTCCAGATGTGGACGGGGACCTCTACAAAGTATAGATGCATGTCACGTCTGTGAAACATGAGGCTTGCTCGTTTGTGGTTTTGCTATATGTTGCTTTCATAGAAATACATTGTGTAATTGTGTATTATGTATATCTATCTACATAAACTTATCATGGATGTTTTGTCAACAAAATGTAAAGGTAAACTATGGTAAACTGCTACACACCCTTTGTTTTCTAGAATTTGCGAAAATTACAAACATGTATATATACTCTTCCACTGTTTCATGCACACACAAAGGTCCACGTGCCTCTTGGTATTGCCAGAGTATTGCTGGATCCTCTGGACACCCCCCCCCTCACTGAGCCAGTCGTCACACACTGTCCTTGAGCGTCACTCCCAGGTCCCTCCCTGCCCGACCTGGGTGTGCTAACTGGAGCCACTTCTCCAAGCACTCGGAGATGTCGGCCTCGAAAGGCGAAGACGATGCGTCAGGCGGACGGAAGTTCAAAGTGTTCCCGGTGTGCAGTTGGATTCACCTCCCTAGGAGCTCCTTCCTAGTAGGGAGCTATTTCTACTGGTGAAGCATTTTTCGAGTAGGGCTACTCAATGACTGGACGGCTACCATCATTGGGTACCTACTTTCCTCCCAGGGAGCTGCCTCTAGTAGAAAGCAATCAAGCCTTTATTTGCGCAAGCAGGGGACCAGGAGACCGAAAGACGAGCGGAGTAGGAGAGCAAGAGACCAGCGGACCAGGAGACAGAAGGACCAGGATACCAGGGGACCAGCGGACCACAGGACCAGGAGACCGGAGGACTAGGGGACCAGTGGACCAAAGGACCAAGGGACCAGGGGACCAAAGGACCAGTGGACCAGAGGACCAAGGGACCAAAGGACCTTATTACCAGAGGACCCTCAGACCACAGGGCCAGGAGAGCAGCAGAAGAGGCCTATCAAGGAATAGTGTTTTTTGATTCGCTTTTTATGTGTTTTTTTTTTAAATAATCCTTTTATTTTTTGTTGATGCTCGTTCTATTTTTTGTTGATACCTATGCCAAGAAATACAGTTTGGCGCCCAAACTACACAGGTTGTAGCATTGTTCCTGGCGCAAAAGGCGACCAGATCCGTCGACGTTCCCCGTGATCCGACCGATGTGGGGAACCCACGCGCCTCAGCATCGGAAGACTCGTTCAAGAGGCAAATGGCCTTCAACAGCAAGGCATGTTGCCTGCGCTGTAAGGAACGGCTGCAAATGGGTTCGTTGGTTGGCTGGAAGAAAGACTGGGGACAGGTTTCAGGACACTTACTGTTACAGTTCTCGAAGTGGCAGCACGCTGGACAATCACCCATAGTGGACTCAGTGGACAGTCCAGAATCATTGGGTTGTGCCTGATCCAGTCGCCAGTTGATGTATTATATAAAGACCTCAATATTTAGATCAGTGAGCTTTAAAAAAGGGCACATCACCATTATCACCTCCATGATTGTTTTCTGTTTTTCTGGAGAATCCCGCGCTGGACTCCGGCAGCTTCACCTCGACTCACAACAGCACTGCTGCCTCAGCGGTTGTGCAGCGCTCTCAGGCTCTGCTGGGCGTTCGAAGACCTCGAACGAACGACCAAACGCGCTGCACGAACGAAAGCCCAGCGATGTTGGGAGGCCTCCGGGGGGGCCACCGGGCCCCCCTGGGGCGCGGAGTCCTATATAGACGGCACCAAGTCGGATAGCGAGGGGGGAGAAAACCATTTTTTTGAGCACAAAAGGGGCACCCAGTCGAGGTACTGATGTGCACTCAAAGAGGTGCTGAAACATAGACAGAGACGAGATCAACATATCTATCAGTTTGTTTTTCTATTGTTGATATTGAATCTGACATGCATCCCCTGATCGAATGATCTACAACAAAGAATCTTTACGTGATAGGCGTCCAGGGGTTCTTCCAGTCAGTTGGTGCTCCAGCTTTGATTGGGTGATACACACAGGGTGGAATCAAATATTAGATCTTCATAGCGTGATAGACTTGGGGGATCCTCCAACCTTTGCCCAAAAACAACTACAAATTCAAACCATAGCCTCTCCAACCACGAAGCTCCATGCCAACTGTGTATCCCCCCACGAAGCCTCCCTAGTCTCTGTGAAGCGTGACATGCCAACCGGCATGAAACAGCCACACATAAGCCCGAGTGGTGCAAATCCCTTTCAGCCCCTCCTCGACCTGCCACATCCCTGAGATCCCGAACTGTATTGAAACACCGCAAAGCCAAGCGATCGATGTTCAAGTCCATGAGCAGGGCACCGTAGTCCAAGGCGTAGCTCAAGTGGGAGAGCCTCACTTTCTGTTTTAAAGCCCATGGCCTCCCCTACTGAATTAAGGGAGTGAAGTAGCAATACGAATCAACGGATAGCTCAAGCTCCACCCGCCTGAGGGCAGGCAGGGGGGGAGCGTCCTTTTTTTTTGGCTCTCATGCCGGACAGGGTAGTTGCGGCGACCCTGGAGCGTTCCGCGTCCAGGGTCAGGGTTCCATCTGTAGAAGCCAACAACGACTCACAACAGCGAGTCAAAGGGAATGGTCCATGACAAAGGGGTGGCCTTCGCCCCTTTTTCAAAGGCCCGAACGAGCATCTCAAGTGGCATATTGCCCAGGAAAGCTTCGGCACCGAAGAAGGCACCTTTAGGAAAAGTCTTACCGTTGCACTTGTTCCCTTTCTGCAGAAGCGAAGGGGCAATGACAACATTTCTGCCCTTACAGTAAGTGATGGCCGCGCGAATGATGGCCGCATAGGCCTGCACTGTGCACACAGTTCCAGCTGGGAGGACAAACCTTGAGCCTTGATGAAAGGCCAGAACGGCAAGCTCAAAAACAGAGCAAGCTAGACCATCACCAACCCGCCATTGCAATGTGTTGCTAAAATGTAGGAAGGTGCGAAAGTTCACTTCAGAAAGGGCTTTGGTGTTGGAAAAGGGCATCTGCACATCATTATGGAATTTCCAAGTGAACAAATCAGTGGAAACATCCCATGACCATCTCGGACATTGTTGTCGAGGAGGGACATGCGGTGGCTGTGCCTGTAGCACAACTGCCTCCGATTCGGCAGGGCGTTCGGGCTTCCGACAAGTGCGATTGAGCTTGGCAAGCCATAATTGGCGTGCGAAAACGTCAGCCTCCTTGACCTGGACATCGGCTTTGATCTTGCTTGCCATCACATGAATTTGTTGTTTGGCAAATCGGTCAGCCAGTCGGTTCAGAGTGATGTCTCGGACGTTTGAGCCAACAGCTGCTGCCGCAACCTCTGTCACACTCTCTGCTGGGATGTGCTCAAGAAGGTGTGCAGGACACCAAGTCAGTTGAAGGGGGCACTCACAGAAGCCACTTCTCTGATGGATAAGGTTGTGCAGGAATCCCCACCAGTTAGAATGGGTCCAGTCAATGCGCACCACCCCTACTCGGAGAAGCTCGTTGAACTGGTTGACAACTGTTTGAGAGTCGGTGTGAATCTCCAAGGGCCCTTTGGCACCTGCAAACGCAGCGAGAATTGCCCATAGTTCGGCACTATAACTGGACAGCCTCCAATGTCGGACTAAACCAGCGGACAACAACTGCTCATCATCTCCAACAACCGCAAAGGATGCCACAGTCAGCCAGGGATGACTGGCAAGCTGGACGGACCCGTCCGTCCAAACATGTTGTACGCTAGGTACGGGTGCACTCCATGCATATACTGCCAGATCAGATGGTTGGGAAACTCGGAGTTTTGCCCGTATGTCTTCAATCGGAGTCTCAACAATTCCAAGCTGATCAAAGTTCGGCCCGAAAAAGAAACAGGTCGACGGTTGGCGAAGGTCCTCCGGCAACGCTGTACACTCCTCCACAAAGTGGCATACAGATTCCTTGGCACCTCCACAGAATCTACACAGGGCTGAATCGATAAGCCCTGAGGCAGCTAAGCGGTCCGCTGTGAGAGTACAGCCGGTGATTGCACTCTCCCAGTGAAAGGAGAAAGAGAAGTTGTCGTTGGGGACCGCCAGCATCTTTTTCTTAGCCGAGAGGGTGAGGCTGAGATCCAGAAACCCTTGTGCTTTGTGAATGTCTTTTCTTGGCATCAGACAAGCAACACTGTAGCACTTGTGAGCCGCTACACTCTTCAAGATGCACTTCAAGTCAGTCAAGGAAAACTCCAGGAAGCTAACTTCCGGTGCTTGGAGGAACGAGAAGCCAAACGGGCTGCACCACTCAATGTCTAGCACATGACATGCTTGGCTGAACTGCATCATCCAGGATTGCGGAGTAAACTGGTCCTGCTCATAAATCGCTTGCCACGACTGTCTTGCAAAGTGAGATGTTCGTAGGAACCGCACTGATTCAATGATTGTCGTGACTGCACGATACAAAAAGGGGTCCAATTTGTGTGCCTTGTGGACAACACAGAGGAGGAGGTGCTTGGATCGCCACTTGGGTCGTTCTTGCCATATAGCGTCCGCAATGGCGCACTGCAATCTGGCCAGCAATCTCTTTGGGAGGAAGTTAAGCTGCGGTGCAAACGCTACTTGAGGCAGAACCTTAGTGGTCAGAATCTGCGCCCTCTTGTAAGCATCACAGGGGAGTGCACGAATCGCTTCACAGTCTCGCAACGCTGCTTGCAGCTTGGTCAGCGGGAAGCTTCCAACGTTTTTCCGTGTGGTCTGGACATGTGCCCCAAGGGTGTTAACGACCTCAACAAGTCGCATCTGCGGCAATGCAGTCTTCAGAGCCTTCCGCAAATCCGCTGTAGTGGCAAATAGTTCACATTTCCCAGCGTTTAGGAACTGGCCACACAAGGAATCCCATAACTCCGTGGCTCGGACAGCAGCAACCAGATTGTCAATGGAGGGCAGCCGAGTCCACAGATAGGTGTCATCAATGAAAGCTCTGAAATCAACTCCATCAATATTGCAGATAATCCAGGCCCAAATAGCCATGTGGATATTGATGCAAAGCAGACTGAGGGAACAACCCTGAACAACACCATTCGGTGTAGATATGGCCTGCTTCCGCGTCCATTGTTTAAAGGACAGGAATCTCGTCATTCTTGTATACAGCGCCAGGAACCCACACACAAAGTTCTTGGGTAGTCCCAGAGCAAGCATGATAGCTGCACATAGCCTGGGCATCAAGCGATCAAAGCACTTGGCCTTATCGAGCTTGAGAGCAGCGAAAGATCCCTGAAAGGCGTGGGCTCGATCAATCTCCAGTTGCAGGGTCATATGTACCTCAGACATCAGCCTGCCTTTGATGCCCCCTTTCAATTGCGAAGGCATGATATCCTGCTGCCACCCCTGTAGCTGGCCAAAACGTAGGCCCGTGTACAACAGGGTGAATACAGATTGCAGAGAAATGAGGCGTTTGGAGGTCGGGGCATCACTACCATCCTTGTTGTGAATGACCATACGGACCTGCGTCAAGATCTGAGGAAAGTCCAGCGCGCCAGCTTCAATAGCATTGAAGAGCACCGCAACAGGTCTAAATGCTGCTGGTGGGAGAGCCTGCACTTCACGTGTTTGCCATGCATCAAGCCCTGCAGCCGCATCAACCCGACGTTTGGCAGCCTGTCTCCAGAGTTGCTCCTCTGTGATGGGAGGGAGAGCGACGGCCCGGCCTTTGTCATGTATATACGGCCACACTTGTTTGAGGATCTGCATTTCATGGGTATGCTCCGCATTCACTGCAAAGACAGAGTCCCACTTGTCGGCAATAAAGTCCATTGCCTTCTGGGGATCATAGATGATGTTCCCATTGTCATCTTCTACCAAGTTGGGCGGGACCACACGACCCTTCTTCTTGAGGTACTGGTAGACAATCTTGCCAATTGTGGGCGATGAGGTTGCAAACTTCATAGCTGTCCTCCATCGCCGGATTGCAGCAAGTTTGAGTTGCTTCATTTCTGTGCGGATAGCCTTCAAGGTGATTTCAATGAGGTGTGGTACATCATGGGCAAAAATCTGCCTGACCGAGAAGGGCACCAATTTCGCCACTTTAAGCTTCCGCAACAACCTATGCTGTGTATTGCGAAAGGTGCGCAGGTCGCCCGGCCCCGATGTTGCTCTGTTGAAGCGAGCTTCAAGTTCTCTCAAGGATCTGACAATTGATTGCAACGAGAGGAGGTGTGGCGAGGCCAGGTTGCCATTAACCTCCTGGGATGCAGAGGCCTGTACCTTGACAAATTTCGGGAGGGCGCCACGACACCGTGATCCCTTGCCCCAGGCGGCGCCATTGAGCACCAACAATTTTGCGGCATACTCATTGTAGACGGCCCATTTGGTATCAGCATCGACTGCCTGATCAAATTGCTGCGCGTAGTGGTGCCAAAGCTGCTCACTGAAGGAATTAATCGGGCAGCCAGGGTCGTTAGGGTCAGCATATTGGACATTGTCCAAGTTGAGTACAGCTGGCCGCTGCATGATGGTGCCTGTCTGCAAGAGTTTGTCCCACATGAAAGTTGCTTTAACCGGCCTATGCTGGCGGTCCTGATGGTCAAGTACTTCAATGCTAAGAAGTGCCGTTAAAGCCGTACGATTCATAAGGATGCCATCGATGGAGGATTGTCCATCACCATCTCCAGTCGCAGCATTCTGAAAGAAGGTGCATGGACGAGTCACATCGCCATCAGTGTCAGTTTGCAGAAGGGGGTCTGCCCAGCCCCAGTGGTCTGAAGCCAACTGTACTGCAGGGTACATACCCGGTTCCATCTGAAAGTCACCTGCAACCACAATGGGCACATCGCCAAACTGTGCAGCCACCTCAAAGATAGAATTGAGGATCTCATTGTTCCGGCCAAACTTAGCTCTTTCCGAGGCCGCATTTGCAATGGCGTAGAAGTTGAAGGCAAGCAGCTTAACGCCTTCCGCCACCTGGTGCCACGTAGCTGTGACCCGAGTTGTGGATCGGAGCATGGTCCATTGGCCAGATTGGTCAGCTTGATCATCAAAAAGTTGCGTGAACTCTTTCTGTCCCAATGTGGCTGTTCCCCCTGAGGGGATTCTATACGTACCATTGCTTGCTCGAAGTTTCTGCAGCGGTTGGGAGCAGAATAGTTGAAGGTGGCAGAGGGCAGCCTTCCGTTGCGATTCAACAAGGTTGGACTCGGCAACCCGAGCTTCTTGGAGTGCAAGCACATCAGCCTCCCAGTGAAGACAGTTGTCATTCGTAGCAAGGGAGTCAATATTGGCTGAAATAATGGCCCAACGCGGTCCCTCTCCTGGGTAACCCAATGTCATATCGAACTCAAAGGTAGGGCCACCTGCACAGCCACACAATCCAACACCACAGTCAGAGTCAAGGAAACAGAAAGGG